AATCTGATTAACTTGCAATTTCTTTTTCGAACATATATGCATATATATATATATATATATATATGCATATATATATATATATATATACATATATATGTATATCATCATCATCATCATCATTGGCATGATGTCCAGGGGAGAGTCATGGCCTTACCTAGAACATTTCTACTTGTTTTCTCTGTTGCCAAGCCTCGGTGGTTCAAATAACTCGATAGTTTTTAATAATAATAGTTTCTAATAATAGATAGTTTCTAATAATCTACATTAACGAAGACCAGCCATCTCAGTTTGGGCGTCCTCTAGCTCTGTTGCAAATTGGTTGGTCTTTGAATTTTTTATGTGTAAGGCTAGTTTAATGGATAATGGGTTCTGCAAATCTGTCTAATTATGCCTATTTTCCTCATAATATTTGATGTCTTCAAAAATGTTTTTTTTTCATTAAAATTATAATATGAATGGTCCACCGTGTAAAGCTGAGCACGAATGGTACTAGGAGCTATTATTCGTCCTAAGACTTTTGGGTTACTACTTCCAATTGATTTTAGCGCCTAAGCTTGGAAAAACGGGACATTTAGTGGTATTATACTTTTAGTCATCGCGATAATACTCGATCTTTCAATTTAAATTCTAACTGAACAAGTAATGAATGAAATCAGAAGACACCACAAGCATGCTATAATGCTATCTAAAAAGAAACAACCGGTCATATTTTACACGGTTTTCACTAAATAAAGGATAGCACTCAAAAAGTAGCAAACCTTACACTTAATTTATATAGTGATATAAATTTTTTTAAACTTATTTTTGCCTCGCGACCGATTAGAATTTATAACATACAATAAACTCTTATGAATGTTAAATTTTTGCTAAAATTCGAACATAAATCACAAGAATATACTTCCATAAATCTTGTTCGCACATCATCTCGTAAGCATAACATAAGCGGAGTTTTCTAAATTTCTTCTGGTTTAGGAAATCTTGTTGTTGTTAACATTCAGTGAACTATTAATAATCATTGTTCGAATTTAGTCATAAATCAATGAAAATTAGTTGCAGGAAAAAAAAATAGTGAATGTTCCCACAATAGGCACCTAATGGGTTAAAGCAGTGTTTCCCAACCTTTTTTGTGCCATGCCCCACCTAATCCTTTCTAAAATTCTTATGCCCCCCCCCATGTAACATATCCATAAATTTTAATATTAAAAAATTGAATTGTTCACTTAAGTAGCTTAAAATAGAGGTTTTAGGAAAGAATCACTAGGAAATTGTTAACGAAACACAGTAAGTAAATTTTCAAAACATATAATGAAGAAATAAATTGAAAATCGAAATAATTTTGATATAATCAAATTCGAAATAATTTTAAGATTTTTCTATAATAATTTAATATTTTAATTTATTGAGATCCTTGCGCTGAATGCTTGATGCACAGAGATTTTATGTTCCAATTTAGCTAGCTTCAGTCTCAAGTCTCCCCGTTGTATTACATCCAGGCGATTTCTTATTTTTACCAAAAAATCATTTACAAAACTAAATCCACATTCAGCTAAATATGAAAATGTAAACTGTAACAATAGTTTTCTTGCACATTTGGGTATTTGATTTCTGTTTCCTCACAAAGCCATGCCATCACTCCTTTTATATTAAATAAAATTTTAAGTGACTCATCATTTTACATTTCTGCGAGTTCTTCTTGATACTGCATATTTGATATATCAGACAAATCCACTAACATTGACTGCATTATCCTTGTCGGAAAATCAATTTGTTTTAAATCAGAAAATGTTTCTTTTAAATCAGCCGAAAGAATTTTCAGATGATCGACAATAACAAGTAAAGCTGTATCATTTACTTCACATCTTTGGAGCCAATGAAACTGTTCAAAGTTTTTGTTGTTAATATATTTCTGACATAATTCAATAAGGGTAATGAAGCCTAATATCTTCGCTTTTGCATCAAACAGAGTTTCATCTGTTCCTTGAAGTTGCTTATTTAATATATTTAGTTTCTCAAAAATACCGACTAAATAACTCACAGATGCTTTACCATCGACTGTTAACAGATACTTCATTTCAGGTTCGTCGCCTAAAAAATCGCTAAGTCACGTAATATTTATTGGCCTCAATTATTTAAGAATTTGCTTTTTTCTTTTAAT